CATTCCAAGCCACCCTCTACATGTTAGTCTCCTCTCCGCAGCGTTTTTATGTCGGCTTGCCTGAGCATGCACTGTTTAATTTCAGGAAATGTCCAAATTGTATCACGGGACGCAACTAGACTGATATGTCATGGAGCCTGAACGATGAACACCACTTCCAATATAGTTAGTACTTCCAATCTAAACTGATAGAATTGCGGATCCGTGGCTGTTGGTGGAGCGTGGAATTTAATAATTGTGAATGATAAAAAACCGTGTTCAGACCCCAGTTGTCGGCATATACCTGCATATATTTAATATAACAAACTTATTATGCCATACTCCCGACATAAGTACTAGCTAAGAACCTAGACACATGTTTCGTCAATGTTTAGCTGCTGCGTGTTGCAGCTGTGAGAATTTCGGCCCCTCAGTGACCCGAGGTATTTGATTGTCCTGTACTCACATTTTAATTGGATTTGCGCGTCTAGGCCTAAAAGGTCATGTCCCGGTCACTTAGCTCCATGTTCTGCACTTAAATAAGTCCATTTATCGAGACATCCTAAACCGACTTCGTTGTTTTTGGCTAAACTAGACTCACACACTTGATGTATTGAATCACCTTCTCGAATGTCTCCTCCTGATTGGAAGAAAGTTTCCAGACATGCTGGGAGCCTGTGGACATCTGCAAGCCTTCGTATTCCAGTTAATCAAAGTCACCACCAGACTGGATACTCACGTGGAAGCCTCGTTAGGCCAACGTCGTTGTCAGCAGGATGTTGAGACTGCCGCACGCGCGGAACGAGAACTCCACGTCATGCTGTTGGCCATGGAGGCTCTTAGCATGGGTCAACAATCGGGTAAGTCACTATTCAACTTAGATCCTCTACTATGTGCGTGCAACTCTACTTTCGTTAACATTTGACTGCGCTGGCTTAGGACCAAAATGCGAGATCTGAGTATTTGTCTCTCTTCATATGTACCTTCGTTTATTTGGACACTTCCCTTCCATTTGCAAAATATAAGGCACCAAAGAGGGCTCGCCACGCGCTTCTCTGGAGCTCCTGTCGGTTCTGCTCTTCAATGACGGACATATTCGGGAACTTCTGGCTGAGTCCTCATCAAAAACTGAACAGGAGACTAGAGTAACAGACCTCTACGTTCAGTTGACGCGTGCCTCAACGTCTGGTCGGGGTGAGGAGACACAACAGCCGTTTGCTGACCTCCTCGCGGCCGGTGGACAACTGCTTTCAGAAATCCAGAATCTGCCATCCTCTCCACTTTGGAAGGTAGGTCCCCGAATTTCTTGTGTCCATCGGACCACCACTTTAAGAACCCGGTGCAGACCTTCGTAACTGC